ATTCATGCCTTATTACAGAATTTGCACGCGTAAATCGCGGAGAACGCTATCTTGTGTTTATAAGATCTTTGACAAAGTCAAAATAAAAGAGTGAAAAAAAATTAACGAAGAACACCGGGAATAAACATTTCAATTTAAATCAACGCTTCTCATTATCCTATATCTCTTGCTTTATCATATTTACGAAAGCTCACAGTTGTGCTTGGTAGTATTTTTGCAGGTTTAACTCATAGCTGTCTGCAAATGCAAAATGTTGATTTTACAAGATGCAAGATTTACAAGTTTATGGTCAGTGGTGGTGTCAGCACTAGAAGGGGGCATCTCCTGGTAGGACAGGCCGACAATAATAATGCAGGGCCGGCGGAACGTTTTTCAAAGAGGGAGATTGGATGAAGAGATCCAGGACATGGATGAAATATTTATAGTGAGTACATTTTAATCGTACCATACATTATATTATTATTCAATTAAGGGCGGAAGTGGCTTGCACAAAATACTTCAATAACCGTATGTCGTATAGGATGGCCTTAACAGCAGTGAATAGGTAGATGCAAGTAACAGATGCAACATAATCGATTATTATTATTGTTATATTTTATTTAATTATATATAAATTCATTATTTTTACTTTTTATTGTTAAATTATTGTTATTAAAATATTATTATTGCTATTTAATTGTGCATATTGTTAGGTTACAAAACAATTTAATTAAGCAATGCCAAAATCCTCCTTCGGAGACTGTGTTAAAAAAAAAGTCACAGGTCTTAATGCCAACATTTCTCTTGTGTATGTAATTGCATATGATAAGCCTACATAGAAATACTGTACTGTATACGCAAATACAAAACACAAACGTTGTTGCATGACCATTGTTAAATATAGGGCCTACCACCTCTTTTCATCATTATTACTCATTCATTATTATTATTTTTATCATTATTCAAGATTTTTATCATATTACTTAATGAAGATTAACAATCTTGCTTAACAATAATAGCAACATTGTAATACATTACAGTATAATTATAAAAATAATACTAAGACTAATGATAATAATATTAATATTAATGATTATAATATTTATAATAATAATAATAATAATAATAATAATAATAATAATACGGTAATAGCAATGATAATAATATACAAATATTACAATAATAATATATTAATACTAATAATTATTATTATATTAATAATAAAAAGTGTGGTAATAGATGTAATTTTATGCAAAAAAGTTATCCGTGCTTTACAAATATTCGGCCTATACAATAACAATAATATAATACATATAAATATATATTATATAGTAACAATATTGAAGGTTCATGTTGTTAACAACGATGATGAAGATGATGATGATGATGATGATGATGATGATGATTACGATGACTTGTCGAATTCCTTTTTGTAAGATGGAGAATGTGTGAAAGAGAGATTCTTTCTGATGTCCATATTTTCGTGCGCATAGAATGTCATGTTATTCAAAACAACAGCTTTGCAGTAGAGGTGCTACCTGTGCCAAATCTATTTTGCAATCATGAGGAAGCTGACACAAGGATGATACTGCACAGTGTGTGTGCAGTAAAGTCTAACAGTCACATTGTTGTCAATAGCCCAGATACAGGTGTGTTTATTTACTTACGGAAATAATAATAATAATAATAATAACACCAAGTTAATAATAATAATAATAATAATAATAATAATAATAATAATAATAATAATAATAATAATAACAACAACAATAATAACAACTTGGTATTATTATTATTATTATTATTATTTTTATTATCCTGTTGAATATTAGAAGTATTAATTTTCATAGTATTATTATTATTATTATTACTATTATTCTGTTGAATATTAGCCGTATTAATTTTCATAGTATCTATAATTTATCATTGGAATTTACTAGTGGATCTGAGATTTCATTATTCGCAATAGATACAATACTAATAATAATCCATCAAGAAAATGTGACTTTTTAAAAAAATCTGTTTTTAAAGACATATTGTATTATAACTCCTATTATGTTCTATTTCGAAAATTACAGCCATGTGATGTCTAATTTGTTCATAAATCCTAATACTTTAGACTATAAAAGGCCGTTACTAAGGAAAAGGGGCCCTTAGCAAAGTTAATGTGCAAGAATGGAAAGAGGGAACAATTAAATTTATTTTCACAACACGTATAATTAACAAAAAGGCAAGTACTTCCAAGTATGTCGTACTACGGAAGTCAAGAAATAAAGCCTTTTTGAGGTCTCGGCTCACGGCCTAACTGTATGCTACGTCATTTTATTTGCAATACAGCGCATTCGCGAATCAAAATCCTCAATGTCAAAAAAGATGTGTTCAACATGACGCCCTGTATTTTTGCCAAGAGTAAAGCCAGCACGACCGTGCAATATTCGGAAGTTGTCTGTCGCAAGCATGTCTCCTACAAGACAAAAGAATGGAGAAAAATAATATTACAATAAAATGTTTAGCGTCATTATCGTTGTCGCAAGCCATCACCATCTATATTAATCATCAAACATCAAGTCTTAGGCTATCAAAAGAATGGAGAAAATAATATTACAATAAAATGTTTAGCGTCATTATCGTTGTCGCAAGCCATCACCATCTATATTAATCATCAAACATCAAGTCTTAGGCTATCAAAAAAATGGAGAAAATAATATTACAATAAAATGTTTAGCGTCATTATCGTTGTCGCGAGCCATCACCATCTATATTAATCATCAAACATCAAGTTTTAGGCTATCAAAAGAATGGAGAAAATAATATTACAATAAAATGTTTAGCGTCATTATCGTTGTCGCAAGCCATCACCATCTATATTAATCATCAAACATCAAGTCTTAGGCTATCATCTATCACCCTCATGATCATCAAAATCACCATGATTACTTCGTCGTCATCAACATCACCGTAGCCCCTGCAACTATGCAACAGATGTGGATGTGATGTCCATGCAGCCTTTACAGAATGGTACTCATCATAACACGGCCACGGCTAACGCTATCATCATCATCAACATCATTGCCATCATCATCGTCAAATAATAATAATAATAATAATAATAATAATAATATCAGGAATTTATAAGGCGCCAATTCCAAAAAAGATCAAAGGCGCACTATGCAAGTGTGATACCCTCGGAGAACAATATGGTCTTAATTTGCGATTTAAAGTTGCAGAGATTAGAAGTAGTAGTTATATTAATAGGAAGCTGGTTCCAAAGAAAAGCAGAGGCAAAGAGAATGAGCATTGACCATAGGTTTTGGTAGAATATTTGGGAACAGAAAGGAGATTTCGAGAAGATGAACGGAGACGGCGAGATGGAGTATACTTAGTAAACAGGGCATTTAAGTAGACGGATGACAGAACATATCGCTTTGTGGGAGAGAACTAACAATTTAAAAACAATTCGTTGCTTGATCGGCAACCAGTGAAGTTTATGAAGTATGGGAGAAGCGTGGTCATATTTCAGCACCCTTGTGCATATCCTAGCAGCAGTGTTCTGGGTGCGCTGGATACGCTTAACGTCCTTCAGAGATTCCAAAAAGTAGAGAGTTACAAAAATCAAGCCTTGATGAAATTAAAGCATGCACAAGTATTTCAGTAGATTTCAAATCCAGAAATCTTCTAAGCTTACGTATGTTATGGATGTCGAAATTATCAGATTTGCAAACTGAGCTAACATGATTTTTAAAAGTTAGATGTTGATCAAGAATCACACCAAGGTTTCTAACATATTCTAACGGCTGAAGGACGGCTGTACCTAGAGTAATAGGTGGGGAAAAGGGCTTAGGATCAGCAAAGCGAGAGTGAAATACAATGTATTGGGTCTTCGTTTAGTTTGAGTTTAGTTTTGAAACATCCACAGTTTTATTTCAGACACATTTATTTGAATCTTGTTTATAGCAAGTAAAAGTTCAGTTTTAGGGTTAAACGGGACATAGAGTTGGATGTCATCAGCGTACATATGGAACTTAACTCATCACGTAGTCCGGGCTACCACCGTAATCGCAGTCGTCATCATCATTCCCATCTACGCCATCATCATTGTCGTGTCTGACGTGTCAATTTCATCATCATCACCACCATTATCATCAACATCATTGTTTCTTTTGTCAACATGCCTACCTTCTTCTAGTGGTAATACCATTAGGTTTTTCGGTGAATATAGTAGGCCTGCGAATGTTTTCAAAGCTCGGTAGAAAGCAGGAATTCCTTCCGTCGATATATTCTTGATACTTGCTGTCCTTGTGTGGTCACTGTAAGACACCATCTCCACTTCACCTGTCGAATTCAAGCTGTAGAATACAACAATCAATCTATAGTAGCAATTTTTACGGTATACTAAATTAATAGGCCTAATTTTTCGTCAAATGTGAATAATAATCAGACTGAAATGTTTTAAAGGCAATGACACAAATTTGAGTTCTTGTGCGTCAAGGCTGACGTACACACCGCAGCCAGATTTTTCATGTTTTGCGTATAGATATTCGTCTAATTTCAATTGGTTCACACTGTAAACTTCCACTTTTGCTTCAGAAATGCGTAGACGCAAGTCTCACAAACACACAAGTTAGCGTCTACGCTATGGTTTGTGGGACCTTGCAGCAAGATCCAGGTTTAAGCGGAATGGTACATTGAGAATATAGACCTATGCTTTCGAATAAGTACCCTTAAATGATTCAATCAAACATTCGATAGGGAGGTGTATTCATTTACCTAATAGTTGGAAATTGGCCTTTAAGGTGGACATCTTTTTCTTGGCTTGTACCATCAATTTCATATTCAAGAATTCCTCTGCAAAGCAGATTGAAGGCATTCTCATCTATTTCTCGAAGATCATGAGCCGCTTTAAATCCATCGGCAAACCAATTCTCACCACCAGATTGAGGCCGTTCAATACTATGCAGCAATAGAACCTATCGATTTAGAACAACAAATAAAACACTTTTTAAGATATGATAATTCTAACAAAGCACTAACGATGTTTAATGGTTATACAGTACCTCGTTCCCACATACGGTAACTAAAACAACTTTTTTTAAATTAAATTAAAGTTAAAGTTTGAAGGGCTGTTATATAATAGGCCTACAGTACTTCCGATTGGGTCTTTTTGCATACACGTACAAACGGCGGCCCTCATACCGCAGCGTTAATGATGATGATGATGGTCATTGATGACGACCACGACAATGACGTCGATGATGTAGTAACGATGACTAAATGATGATCATGAAGATGATGCTGCGATTAGGTTAATTATTATGATGATAATAATGACGATAGTTGCGATGACGATGAAGATAATGATCCAACGTAGTTGCACAAAATGTAGAGTTGAATAGCTTAGTGGTTATAAAGATGCTTGTCTAATCCCAGGGTCCTGGGTTCAATTCATGTGAAAGCAGGAGCTTTTGTCAAGACTACAAACAGGTCCACTCCCTAAACCTCATAGAGAGACTTCACTGATAAAAGCATTACATTATTTCATTTATTTTAAAGGGCCCGACCTTCTAGGATACGCTGGAAGGGTCACCCTCTATGATTACAGAAATGTTCGAATCTCCATGAAAATTCCTTTCTTGTTTATCTTGCATTCATCAGGGACGTAGCCAGGATTTTGAAAGGGGGGGGGGAGCCGTTATGCGAATTACGTAGGACCCCGGTGGGGTCAAATCCCCCTGTGAAGTAGCGCACTCTGAACGTTCTTAGGTCTGTTTGAGAGGATAAAATGAAAATTGCAATAGACGCATTATAAATAAGCGAAAAAATAATTATATAATAAATCAACATTGGCAAATCCAGGAATTCGAAAGAGAGATGAACCAGGGAGGGACTTTCACAGACCGAGGAACCACCCACCTCAGCCCCACCATGGTTGGGGCTGAGGTAAGAAAATTGTTGATTAGGGCATCTCTAGATGGCCGAAAATTACACTCTCGCACTTTTAATATATCTTTCTTTTTTTTTCCTTAAAAAACTGAAGTGGTGGGGGGGGGGGCTTGAATCCACCTCTGTTTATAACATTCTTCATCCAGAATAGTCTTAATCACAAAAAATGGACACGAAAAACCAGATCACATCCTAAAAACAAACAGTAATCACTAAGACATACATCAGGAGCCGACTCGATGGAGTTTAATGTCATATCCAGGGAAGGGCACAGATCTGTTATGAAAGGTGGAGGGGAGGGCATTTTGTGAGTCGACACCCACCTCAACCGCACCATGGTTGGAGCTGAGGTGAGAAAATTTGAGGAAATAGTACCTCTAGATGGCCAGAAATGACACTTTTAGTAAAATTCATCATCATCACATCATCATTAGTCAAAATGAAGCACCAAAAAAAATTCTCATGATTTTTATCAGGGATTTTTGACAACCATAGAGATCTTATTAATGTGTGTGTGATATACCATAGAAAACAAAGCTTAAAAACATTGTCTTTGAGTATGTACTTTACATAGGCCTTCTTCAAAAACGTTATTTCACAACCACCTCAGCCCCACCATGGCTGGGGCTGAGGTGAGAAAATTTGAGGAAATAGTACCTCTCGAGATGGCCGGAAATGACACTTTTATATAGTAAAATTCATCATCATCACATCACCATTATAGTCAAAATGAAACGCCAACAATTTTCTCATTATCTTTTATCAGGAATCTACTTAATACCGGAATCCAGGACCACTTAGGCCTAACTATAGCTTACTAAGCTTTAACTATACTA